GATCCCGAGAGAAGAATGGAGGAGAAGGGATTGCGGCGTGACCATCCCCCCGGGGGGTGATTTCTTGCTTTCTGTCTCTATGTCTGTCTCTGTCTGTCTGGCAAGCGCACATGCCCTATAGCAAAAAACCTCTCCCCCCCAAAAAAAGAAGAAATAATATGAGCATCAATGAAAATAGCATGTTAAGAACACTCAAATTTCAGGACCAGCAGATGGCATAATGGTTATATCGCTGGACTCCCACATAGTCGACTGCAGTTCGAGTTCTGGACCTGGTGGCTTAAAACTCATGCAGGGCACATGTACATGAGTGCCCAAGACCCCAAGTGGAGAATGGAGGAGAAGGGATTGCGGCATGGCCATACCCCCCCCCCGAGGGGGGGTTGATTTCTCTCTTTCTGTCTCTCTGTCTCTGTCTGGTGAACATATACACACTGTATAGCAAAAATTTCTATTAAAAAAAAGAATCTCCAAATTCCACTATAAAAGCAACAATGATAAACATGGGCAAAAGCAGTCAGCATTAACTTTTATTTTTCCCTTGGAAGAAAACCAGTGTGTGGGCACACTTGTATAGCTAACGCTGAAGCCGCTGAGGATGGGACCAGCCCCCAAGGCCCCCTTCCCACCATGGTACAAGGAATTCCTAATTTTGAACTAACAGAATGGAAGCACGGATTAGAACATGGTTGTATCATTGCCAGGCAGACTGGCTGGCTACTCTTTCTGTGAAGACACGCAAGAATCTTTCTAGCTGTGTAAAGCTCACATTAAATCGTGACACCCGTGGAGACATCAGCACACGTAAGCTCCTTTTCTCTTGTTCTTGAAGTGTGACCGGCTCTGTCTTATACAGAAAAAAAAAAAAAAATGCTTGAAGTGGGACTTGCTCTGTCTTATACAGAAAAAAAAAAAAAAAAAAAGAAAAAGAAAGAAAGAAAACTAGATACTGTTTAAATTTATGTCTAAAATAGGCCATAAGAATGAGACAGTTAAATGCTTGCTTTATTCTAGGGGAGATGTAGCAAGTATCTAATTAGAAAACTTAAATAGACTATTTGTAATCAAACAAGAGGGATGGTTCATACACAACTACCCAAAATATACAATATTGGTAAAGCTTTGGTGAGAGCCCTTTATAAATATGGTTGGGGACTGAGGAAGAGGAAAGAGAATCACTCTTCTGGAAGTAAATTTTCATTCATTTGTCCACTTAACACAGGACTTATTTATGAGCAGACTTTGAACAGTTTGTGGAAAAGTGGAATTAAAGTATCAGTTTATTTTGGTGCCCCCTGAATCTGAAATCCATGCAGAGTTTTATCAAAGTACACAATTTCCCACAAACTTCACATGCTAAAGACCCCACGTTCTCAGAACATTAACACTGACTCAGTGACTGTAACAAGACAGCGCTTTTTGAAGGATTAGGAAAGCCACCATGGTTCTGAAATGAAGTACAAGTTT